CTAAAAAAGCCACGTAGAACTGTCAGATATGTTTTGCAGAAGGTTGTCCAAATTGCCACCCTCCTTGCTGTAGTTCAGAGATCTAACCCCTTATTGTACACAGGAGGCCTTTACTCATCTGAAATTTAAAATTTCAGATTCTTCCTGGACAACAATAGGTTGTCCTTTTCAGGTATCTACCTGAAATTTATGAATACCTATAATTTTCAGGTGTCTACCTGAAAATAACTCATCTCTTTTAAACCACAATTATATAGAAAAGATTAATCGTTAATGCATGCTGCTGTGAAGAGCCAAAGTAAGGTCTGATTGCGTTTGGCACCCCTTAAGTGGAAGTACCAACCAGCTTCAGATGCAGCACAACACAAGAAACAGGGACCCTCTTCTGGGGTCAGAAAACAGGAATGAGTGAGATTCTGGAGCTTAGAAATTAGGACACTGAAGCTTGAGGTTTCACTTCTGTGCCCTGGGCTGCTTAAGTGTTTCACGTTCGGTCATCACTGAATGAAGACGGAAATCAGCCAGGCAGTTAAGACTGCCCAAGCTTCTAATGTGCCCAGATCATCAGGCTGAAAAATCAGACTCCTTCAGGTGAGTCCCTCAGCTCCTTCGCTTCTTTCCATTTAGCCTTATAAATCTTGCATTGCTTCCTCCACCTGGTCTAAGAAAATGGAAAGGAGAGGAGCTCAGTCCATGGCATGATGACATCTGGGTTTGAAATAAAAGAAATAATATAATTACCAAAACTAAAAAGCACACTAGAAGGCTACGTAATTTTGAAGGTAACTTCATCAGGCTTTGTCTACACTGGAACAACAGAAATTAAGATCAGGCAATTAAAGATGTGAATGTAATGCATTCTAATTAAAGAATGGGCAATTTCTGTGCAAATGCTCTCACTCAGAATCAAACCTTTTCAGATTACATTGAAGCAAATGCCAGTTGACTTCTGCGGTTAACCATAGCAGAAAGCACAGGTATCCTATATCTCTTGTCTACAACAAAACACTAATGGAAGTTAAAATCTAAAATTCAGCTTACTTTCATATTCTCTACAGTCTTTTGTCAACACAGTGATCAACAGAAATCAAGAAAAGACTAAAGGTGGATCTACAGGGTGATTCAGGCACTTCAGTACTCCAAAGTCAAAAGGTAAAACCTTAAAGTCCCACTAATATGCATTTCACCCTAAAGTTCATAGGTGCTTTCAGGTTCCCACATTAAAATTCCTTAAGCACTTCAGGGTGAGATTAATCTGACCAACTGTGCATGCATATCTCGGCTCTCATCACTCCAGGTTCCCTTTATAATCTTTACTTTATAACAGTGGAGCGAGGCACAGCTCAATTTCTTTTACCCTAAGGTAAACTTCTAAAATAGCTCATATAAATCATACCTAAAAAACACTCAGTCATTTCCACTGACTGCAAAGGAGCCTCAGGCTTGAGATCAGAAGGAGCTGTATACACTATAGATAGCTAAATTAAAGCAGATGAATCCCATCTTTTAAGTCTGCTTCTGCACATGCCTAGAAGTGGTTGAGGACTAACAGAGTGGTGAATAGTGTCCATCTCAAAGTAGGATTTGCAAAATAAGCTTCACATTATCTACATTGCATGAGGAAGCCTATTTTCGAAGCTCATCTGAGAGAAGAAACTGCCAGAAACATAAGCTAAATTTGGATTCTTGGTATCCTACTCCCTTACCTACTAATTCTGTGGTTAGATCACTAAGGAGCAAGACAAGATCCCAGTTTCTACCAGGATCCAAGATGATTTTAAACTACAGCTTCCATCTCTCCTGAATGCTTTAGCCTGCAGATTGTTACCTAGCCTGAGGTTAGAGGAGATGGCATTCTCATTCTGTCCTGTAAAAGCTACTCCGTGTTGAATAACATAATTAAACACTCACTGGAAGAGACTGAAACCTAGACTGGGCATCTAGTGGATGTGCTGACGATGGGGGCAAACACAGTTTCCATTACTTCCTGAAGACAGGGATGTGAAATTCCACACTTCCAGGTATCAAACCGTGACTGCAGCACAGCCTTCAACATTACATCCTTATGTAATCCTTATAATCCATCCTTATGCTTGCTTTTCCTGTCAGCAAGTTGTAGTGGGCCCTTCTTGTCATACTGTCTTTTTTGTCACTAATCTCAGCTACTAAAATCTCCCACGTCTTTGAGACAGAGCTCAGATATCTTAAGAAAGAAGGAAACACTGCAGTATTTACTGTGCTTACACATGGCAGCTATTACAAGACCTTTGGAGATCAGATTAGTTCACTCAGAGGAATTGCTGCCATTTATTTGACTAAATCCACATTTGAATCTAAGTGTTTGTGGAATTCCTACTCGTGTTGGTGAACAGGCTTAATTTTATCCCAGGTCTACTACAGAGGTTTGCACTGCAGTGATCTATTTAAGGCAGAGCACCAATTAAGCAAGGAGTGTGTCTCATTATAGCTGTTCTACACCCGCACACCAGGCAAGTGGGTTAGCTAGACGCTCACAACTAAAACAGGAACAAGTTCTACTCTGATATTTATGTGGTATTTTCCATTTCTGAAGATATTACTGATTTGATATCAAGTTGCACTCGCTGTTGCCCAACAAAGTAGAATTAAACAACACAGCCCTAGTATTGTGTGTGTAAAGTATCCATAACTTCAGTTTTACTCACATGTTCCTCCCTCACAGCGCAGTCACTGACTTATGGCTCTTTTGCCCCTCACGTCAGAGTTGACTTTAGTAACGGCATTTTCTTTTGAGAGCAAGCAGTAGGAGCTTTAGGTCTGTTGGACGCTGACCACCAGCTTCTGTGCCCAGAGTACTTGTGAAAAGAGACAAAACTGCGGGGTTCGTGTTCAGTAGTGACGGAGCTATGGACTCGGCTGCAAAAGACACAGAAGACACGTAAAATCTGTAACACTCGGGGAGTAAAAGAAACAGGGAGCTGCCCAAACACGAGGGGCAGAGAACGTGGAAGTGCCTGGAACAGCTTGAACAGCTTGATCTTGACAACCCCAATCAAGGTGGTAGAACTTCCTCGCGGCCTTTTACATTGCTTCAACCTGCACCTAGGCTGGGAGAGAGCAGGACTTGCTGCCCCAACTCCTCCTCCTTCCACAGAAGCAGCACCAGCATCTCCGGCTGTCACTTCACCTACCCTTGGCATGGCACACCAAATGCAGCAGCCCAGGAGACACAGAGGGGAACAGGAGAGGAAGGTGGGCTTTTTTCCCAGAAATAGATGGAAGAAGTTCCAAAATTAGGCGTGCTGCTTAAATTGGATTATCCTGGCTGCGCAAGGCTATTCCCTAGCAACTGTAAATACACATTCCCAGTTAGCAACTCTTCAGGAACATGCCTTGAGTCCTTATAATTTAACAAAAATATTCCAGCAGAACTTCTGTGACAGCAGTAGCAAAACGCCAGCCTGGGTGCTGATCATTTTTAGTTTTTCTAACCTGGGCAATAACTCATCACCTACAGAGATGCAGTGCTTGAATCATAAAGGTCAATGTCTGTGCTGAAATGAATCATACCATGCAGTATCACTGCCGGGTTTATTTATTGCTCAATAATCTTATTTTAATTACTCAGTCCTAGGTAAAAGGTAGCACACCTACTTTAGATGGTATTTTTAGGAAGATTTTTTCGCTTTAGGCCTTTCTCTCTTCTTTTCTCTATATTACTTATTTTAGACATGTTGACATATCCCTACGCTATTTCTGGCAAGAGAGCATTTTGTAAATTCACTGCACAAAAACATTTTGACTTAAGCAAGAACCATCTACAATTCAGTGAAGTCGGCTCATATCAGTCCTTGTTATTTGACTAAATATTTAAAAGTTGGGCATTAAATTCATGAGGTCTTCTGCTTATGTTGTGAATATACATAGACATAGCAATGCAATAGACTATTTTCACTTTTTTTGAGAATGTTTATTGTTGTTTTTTTCCTTTGTGTCCTAATATTTTCACAGGACTAATATGTACAGGAAGAAAAAAAAAAGTTCTACTTCACATCTTGTTTTAAAATAGTAATTCAAGATTTCTGCAAATCTGACATGACTACATCCCCCCAAAAGGATCAAACTAGCTCATAACGGAAAAGTAGTGACTCCTAGAAAACTGGACTTAGGAAATTCTTCACTATTTCAACCACAATGAACTTGTGCTCCAAATTTTTATTTTTCACATAAAAATAAATCAGAATATCTTTCAAGGAGGGCAATAATGAATGACTTGAGAATTTAAAATCTCAAATGATTACAGAAAGACTACTGAAGTCTGGCAGTTATTTATGCATACGCCCAAATAAGAGAAAATATAACAGCCATCAGACATAATAAATGAAAAAATAATCAACAGAAGGCAACAAAAGGCAAAACAATTTTCTTCTCTATATACACATTTTTACATGAGTAACAAGAAATGTCAAAAATACACAACCTTGAGTACAAAAGAACCATTCTAGCAATAGGTTTGTACAAACTAAAGTTGTGAAAGCAGCATGCTTTGACAGAACGAGCTAAACTGCAACATAATTGAAAAATACATTCATTTCAATACTCCATATCAAAGCCTTCCAATAATCTAATACAAGGGAATATAGTTTAGTAACACACATCTTTTCTGGAGAGGAAGATTATAATTTCCCAGCAGTAGAATCGAGAAGAATCAAGTTGATCTCCATTTTTTAAATCCTGACCTGCCAAGACCATTAAAACGCCCTTATAGCCCCAATTCTGCACACACATATCTGGTGACACTAGAGATGCTAGCAAGGTCATGCCCATCTTGGCAGGATGGCAAAGAGCTAGACTAAGCAGCTTAATGGTCTTGAACTTGATCCTAGGACTTCAGTGGTAATTGTCAAGGCACTGCTCTAAAGACAGGATGTTAGACATGACAGGCCCAACAGTTCTGTAAACACAACTTATCTCGGTCACTTCAGTGACACTTTTTGGTTTCCTTTTTTTCTGAACATTCCTGTATTCACTGTATGCTCTGATCATCTGTAAAACCTAGTAAGTGTAAATACTGCATCATCAAGTTGCTTTTGGATTTGGGCAGTACAGGGTCTCTTTTCTGAGCCTCAACTGACCCAGCTCTGAACAGAAACTCTGCTACAGCACCAAGTTATCTTAAACAAATCGACACCTGCAACTTCTACTACACAGCAATACAAACCAGATATTACAAAATCTGCCCCCCAAACATTTTGCCTCCCTATTCAAGCAAGTAATTTCACTGACTTTACTGCATTACTCATCTTCTTTCCTTCTTGAATCACTACACTTGATGACATTGATTCAATGTCGCAGTATGTCTGTAGTAGCGCAGCGAGGTCTGATGGTGCATAGCTCTGGAAGACAGCAAGAAAACCTGCTCCTGCCAGCACACAGAGCGTTTATTCCCACTGTATTTCATTAGGGTAAAGCACAATTTGCTGCTTTCAATGATAAAGATAAATAAAACGGCATTACAGCTCGGAAACAGAAATTCCGTATCACCCAGGTCACAAACTTCTGCTATCCATGTAAATATAATTGAAAAATAAAAGCTCTATTGCAAAGACACACTTAAACACTTGTGTTTAACAGCATAACTCCTTTATCACTTGTCATTCTGACCAAAAAAACATATTGTCGCCAGTGGATTTGACCAGGAATGGAAAGCACAGACATCAATAATCCCATAGCGTCCTGGGTACCTTTACGGTGAATCCACAATATATTGATTAACAGTGTATGAGCAAGTTTTTTTTTTTTTTTTTTCATTTTTTTCTTTAAATGAAGTAATTATTTTCCTTTCATACTCCTGAAATTTAACTATAACTAATATTTTTGCAAAAACAGAGACTACCAGTAAATCAGTTCTTCGCTGAAGATATAAATAAAACAAATGCTGTAAATGCTTAGATGTCCCCCGAAAGCAAGCAACACCTGGACATCGAGAGATTACAGAGCATTTCCTTCACACACTTAGTTCATCCCCTGCCTGGTTTGTTGTAGACATTTGCTCCTCAGGGACAAGAGCAGAGCAGAGGCCCTCATGCTTTGGAGTGCTGAAAAGAGCTGGAGAGCTGGAGTCAAGAGAAGCCTAAGCCTGGACCAACTGGATATACATTTGTTCTCTTCTTCTCAATTACACATGTCCCTGAAAAGCCCACTGCAAATATGCACAAGGTCTGCATCCTCTCCTTGTCCCAGAGCAACCAAACGTCAAAGTCTGAATCCAAAGTTTTAATTTGATTCACTTTTCACATACTTATTTAGGTATGTGGATTGCTATCATGATGGAAAACCTTTGACTTTCTACTTTCAAGGCAGGTACCCAGACAACTTGACATTAGTCAGAGAGGTGGTTCAGGGAGAGAAGCTGATCTTTAATACATGAGAGCACCAGAGCAAACCCTTGAGGCAGCAGGCACTGCAATGGGAAAGTGGAAAAAAAAATCAATCTGTGTAATTATCAGAGGAGGAAAAGGGGAAATTTAACTGCTGGCCAGCTGTTCTTCCTTACTGCCAGCCTATAGTTTTCGTTTGACATTGAAACCGGAAAACAAGTTTTTTTGTTTGTTTTTTTTTCTTTTCCAGCCATTGCACGCAGACTAAGCCTATGTCATGGTTCATGTTCTGATCTTTGCTGCTTTGCCCTCATATCCCTAATTCTGCTCTGACAAATTCTGACAGCAGAGTTTGAGCAACACAGAGCGTACCTCACCTCCGAGGAGCATACCAGGCTCCAAGGAGAATCCATTATACCAATGCAATGCAAATTTTAGGCCCCAAGTCCTAATTTCCAATAACCTTTCAGGCATATCATTATATTTGGACAGTTTCTTATAAGCAAAAATATCATACACATCAATCCTTTTGTCCTATGCCAATTTCCACCTGAAGTCTCTTTGTCTAGAATCTGCATTAGTCTATACCTCAGGACAGGGTATACTCATTCGCTTTCATTTCTCCATTCTCTCCTTCCAACTCCCTGAATAACTGAGCAGTAAAAAGTTACAAATGATCAGAAAAAGCAAGTCTGTGGCTGTAAGTGTAAATATCCCAACAAAAAATGCCCTCCTAGAGCTTAAATGTGTTTTTCATTAAAACTCGTCAATGTAATGAATAATGATCATAATATCCCTTTGATGCAGAAGAAAACATTCCAACAAATTCTGTAGCAAACTTTGTAAAGTGCACAAAAATAATGAAATATTAAAAAACATTTTCTAGTGTCACTATCACCACTTCTGAAGTATTGTTAAAATTAAATAGAAGTCATCTAATGAGACCTTTTGGCTCTAATATATCGGCAATCAGCAGCAACATTTCTCAGAAAAATTACATCAACTAAATATACTGTATCTTAGCAGCATAAAAACCCTACAATTAGATGCAATTGCAGGCCTAGTAAGCATAAACCTGACGTAGTGTTGCAATTGTAATTCCTGTTTAAAAGAACGGATTTCCATGGAATCCTAGAGGTAACATTTGTTATTTTGTTTACATTGTATTCTGGTAATAAAGCCAACTCTAACCAATCGCTTCTCCTCCGCCCTTCTCTTCCCAAAATTGCACAGAGCGTTGGAACATTCGATCAAGTTGTACGGCCATTCTCAAGGAGCCATAGTAAAGAAAACAACAACAATAAATCAACCAAAGCTTAAAACAAATAATCCAAGAAAATCATCATCATGTCAAACAGCTGCAGCTTTACACTACTGAGCGATGCTCCCCACACACATAGATGGCACTGGGTCGGATGCGTCGCCTCGTGTGGCCAGGGAGCTGTGGCAAAAACTTGAAGTATTTGGGCATCAAGTCTAAGCATGCGTCATGAAACTTCTTAATCCTCCAGTAGTAAATCAGGGGGTTCAGTGCAGACTTGAGGTAGCAGAGCCAAAGGAGCCAAGTGCTTATCTCAAAAAAGTTGTGCTTGTAGTAGAAGTGGCTGTTGAAGGTGGCAATAAGGCTGTAAGTGGTGAAGGGCGCCCAACAGACTATGAAGACAAGGAACAAAATCAAGATGGTTGTGAAGGCACGAGTTTTAAAGCTCATATCAATATTCATCTGAAAAGGTCTCTGCAAGCTCATGAGACCGAGTTTGCTGGCCTGGCTGAGGCAGATGCTATCCGGGTGGCTGTGGATACGAACCGCGTTGTGGCGGACGGTGTTGAGAATGCCCATAAAAGAATACAGCATTACTAGGAACGGAATAAAAAAAGAAATCAGCAATATTACTATCACATAGGCTTGGTAGCCTGGGCTCGTGGAGTAGCCAAAAACACACTGAGGTGCTCTCGAGGGTATCTGCAGATTAGGGTTCCCTACTGACAGCGGGAAAGCAACAACAAAGGACGCTGCCCAGGAAATCCCAATGAGAAACTTTGCTCGGTAAGGGTTCAGCTTATCTTGCCTCTGAACTATGATAAGAAAGCGGTCAATGCTAATAATAAGAAGAATTGCTACCCCTTCTATGACGAAAAGCCAGAAAAACATGGCAGAAACTCTGCAGAATATATCCCCAAATATCCACCGAGTGGTAATGATTGTTACCAGAGCAAAAGGCATGTTCAGCACTGCCAGCAGCATGTCTGCAAAAGCCAGGCTCGCTAAGAGAATGTTAATTGCAGATCGCATAGCAGCCTTCTGGTAGACCATGAGGCAGACAACAAAGTTGCCAAGGAAAGAAACCAACAGGATAAATATCATAGCAGCAGAGAGAATGATCTGGAGTGGCAAACTCAAGCTCCTGAAAGCCTCTTGCGACGGCAGGATTGCTGTAGTGCTTATTGGAAAAGTGCTTCTCTCCGTGGTGAGCACAGCACCTGAACTGTATCTCAGTGGTTGGGTGGTGCCGCTACGAAGCAGAAACTGGGGAGTGGTAAAATTCGTATAGGCATTTTCATAAACGATAAAAGTAGCATTTGAGGTCCCCGAGTGGGCCAGTGTCAACATTGCGGAAAAAACCATTGCTTCAGAAGGAAGGAATGCAGAACCAAAGGTCTTCAAGTCATTTCAGCTTGTTTGGGCAGTATCTTATTTGTGGTCATTTATTAAATCAAAATTCAATGTCTGAAAGCATCAAAGTTCCTAAATTCATTTCAGTATTTCCATCTGAAAAAAAAAAAGAAGAAAAAAGAAAGATTCTCAGAAAACTATGGGAACTAGATGATCTTTCTGCTTTCCTCAACGTCAAAAGAATTCTACTACACTTTTATTAGTGTTTTAGGACAGTGTACTTTTCCTAAGCATTGGTCACAAGAGTCTCAAAATATTTGGTATTTTTCTTTAAGCTGCTACTCCTGTCATCTTCCTGATGCTGTAGAGCACCAGTAGCATTTCCAAACAACTAGCATGACCATGATCTGTCTGTCTATCTAGTAGGCACTGACAGAGTATCTGAGCTACACTACACATTAAGTAGTTGCCTTGTTCCATCTCAGTGGACAGCATCAGATGTCTCAGGAAAAAATGCAAAACATATGACCTTTTATTAATTATTAAATAGCTTGCCCACTGGATTAAAGTATTCTCATTTTGTTTTGTTTAGTGACTGACTCATACCAAGTTACAGAAGATTAACTTCTTTTTTAGTCTCCACAACCCTTATCCCCCATAGCAAGAATTCCTGCTGCCACTAGTCTAGACATAGCTGCATTAGTCCATCTTGATATCTCATGTAATTTAACTGGCATGTCTTCTTTTTCCCTGTAAATCTAATCTTTAGACATTTTGCTGAACTCTTTCCCTCAATATTACAGTGATGGAATACAGCCTTTCCTTTTATTGGTTTATGTATACTGTATTTCATCATACATATGCTGTTGCAATATATAAATGACTTGTAATAAAGCTAAGAATCTGACTTCCAGTAGGTGCTTTGCCCAAAAACTCCTCTGGTCTATCCTGGACGACTAATTTAAACACTCCCAGAAAGCTCTGGCATCTAATCAAGCTTGAAACCAAAACCATTCTATGCATTTCTTACGAAATGTCAGTCAGAAAAAAAAGGAGATTCATTTCACTCAATCTGGATGTCTGTTGTACTCATCTAAGAGAGATACAGATACCTTCAGAGGACAACTCTCCCCCGTCTCTGCACACAGCAACAAGCTTGTGCTACGAGCCTGGGGTGCGTATGCTTGGTAAGACAAATCCAACCCATGGGGTCTACGCAGGTTCTGTTTAGCATCAACATTAGAGATAAGTGAAGTGAGAAAGAAATGTATGTAAGAAACTAAATAAGCACCACCTGCTTAGCAGGGGAACAAATGCTTATTCTTCCCAAGACACTATTTTGCTCACAAAGAAATGAACTGTAAAGCAACACAGCCTAAGCTCTGTCCCCAGGCTGGCTTCTAGCGATACAAAACTTAAGCTCCATCAAGCTGCTTCCAACGTTTCTGTGTTACAATCACAGCAAAGTCATCAAGAATATTAGTGTTATGGCCTGCTCCTCTTAACCCACTCAAAATTGCTCTCTTCCTATCTTCAAGCTTATTATCAATAGATCTTTGCCTCGCTCATCTTCAAAAACACAAAGGAGAGATATTATTATAAACAAGCTTGTCCCATCGAGTCACACAAATTCCACTGTTGGGACCTCTTCCTCTCAGATCAGAAGGGTTGATGTCACCATTTCTCTACTTGAGCTTGCATTTTGAAGATTGCTGAAGTGCACACTAAGCTACATACAGTTTGTAAAAATGCCAGTGATCATCAAATCTAGATTTTCCATTTCTCTCATCTTAATTTTGCCGTAACTCTTACAGAGAATGCCTCAATGTCAATCCCAGGCTAAAGCACAAACAGCAGCCACGCAGCATATGTTTTTTATTTTTATTCCTCTTTGTTGTCTTTATAATCTTTTTTTATTTACTAGTATATTTAAAATCTCACCCAAAGTTTCACAGAGGTTTTTGACTCCACAAGGCAGGAACACTGAAGAGTAAGAGTAGCTGAAGTGTTCTGTAGGCGCTGCAAGAGAGCATAAATTCAACAAATAATTTTGGATTTAGAAACATGGAGTACACAAAACGGGGTTCCCAGGGCAGTAACTTTCAGAATTCTATAAGTAATAAGCCAATAAAGGTAAGTTCTGGATTTCTACAAAAAAATCCTATACTAGGGTTCAGGCTGTTCAACAAATACGCAAGAAAGGGGAACAGGTAAAACCATGCTATTTTCAGATACTGAACATTTTTTTCAGAGCAATTATAAAAAAAAGTTAGGATCTCATGACAGTGACAATGTAGTAAACTGATGGATAAAGTCAGGGATGGTAGAAATACAGCTATTCATGTATAGGAAAACAAGATTATAAGCACCGTGGCAAATACTAAACCAATTATTACCACTCAGCAAAAACAAACACCATGGATCTTGTAATTACAATAGTCTGCTGCATGAAAACATCAGCAAAATGTCTGGAATTATTAGCAAAGCAATAGGAAAGCAGGAGCTATATGCATATGCACTGTACATGTCCATACACTACCTGCTACAATACACATCCATGGCAGCTGGCATCTTCAGTGCCACGTGTAGCTCCACTCCACCCCATCTCCATCCAAATGGAACTGAAAAGAGGAATTAGAGAGGCCTACAGAATTATTAGTGGCACAGAGAGAGTGAGCAACTGCCGCCTCTACAAGAGTACAAGAAAGAGAAGTGCCAAAGGACATGATTATTTAGCAATTAATTGTGAAAAATATTTCCTACAGGATGTTGTGGACGCCAAGAAACTTAGCGGGGTGCAGAAGGCAATTTAGGACACGTTTCACATGATTCTTCTCTCAGAGAAAGATGAATCACCCGCAGGAAGAGCATAGCTCCCTCTGAGGGCAAAGGCTGCGTGGCCATCTGATTTGATGCAAGTATTTGGAACGCACACATCCAGTTACTTAAACTTTAAAAGAACACAGTAGAACTTGCTTCACCTATGTTTTCAGTTCTTTAACCATGTTTATACCATGTAATTTTACACTCCGGAATATGATTATTAGCCTTAGTTGATAATAAGTATCATAAAAGCCCTAACAATAATAAAAAACAAGATTTTCACATTCAAAGCTAAAGAATTAACATTTTACAACATATTGTTTCATCATGAATTGTCCCTTTAAACAAAACAGGAAAAGGGGAGCAGCAACATAAGTTTTCCACACCCTTAATTTTTGTGTTACCCTGAATTTCTCAAGCCAGTAGTATCCAGTCACTTTGAACTCACAGGTGTCCAAAGACTATTTCTAACAAATTCACAGAATCTGACTACGGAAAATAACCTCACTTGTGCTCTCCCAGTATCCCAAAATCCCTACAAAATACATCCACCTTTTTTTTTTTTTTTTTTTTTTGTGATTTCTTTCTTTAGTCGGAAACTCATGTGCTGTTTAATTTTAAGAGAAGTGGTGGAGAATGTCCTCGCACCAGCCAGCTGGACCTAGCCAAGTGCTTGGTGTTGAAAGTGGGCTTGAAACTGGACCTAGCTGAGAGCTTCAGCCATTTGGCTATTACATAAGTTGCCAGAGAGCTCTTCTTTTATATCCAGGAGGAATGAAAGTGTAAATTGTAATCTTACTCCTGGCAATCATTCTTCTGGGTACTCAGTTCATCGCTGAGGTGTGTAACCTGGCCATGCACAGTGACTCTGAACGCTCAAATGTGGTTGAGTTACCCCTACCCCACTTCCAGATGAGCTACTTATGGGGTTTTATATATATATATATATATATTATATATATATAATTTTATTTTATTTTACTTAGAGGACTTCTACAATCAGCAACCACATGGTTATTAAACATGTATCTTGCATTTTCTTCTTCCCTCACCAACTATTCTCCCATCACTTTTTGAGAAAGAGAATATATAGTCTCTAAACCAGAGTCATTGCTGAATTGCATGGCTTTTGCAGACCTTAATCATGGTTTGATAGTTTAAATAGGTAAGTCAATAGGTAAGATTGTCAAAGCATTCAAGTAAGAGGCCAGATACCTTTTTGTCGCAGTATTTTCACTTTTGGTACATATACTTCTTTCTTTTCAGATGCAAAAAAGCCCCACAGAGTCACCTTTTTCTCCATTTCAATGCAGGAAATTACTGGGTTTGCACATTTCCTCTCTCAAGCAAGCTTCTCACTCATATGCAACTTTCTTTTTATGGAACATAATAGATAATTATTTCAATGAAGTACACACTTTAAGCTAAATATCACACAAATTTCACTCATCAAATACAATTATTGCTAGAACTGTGGTGCCTGTTTCTAACAGCTTTCTAAGCTAAAAGGTTAAGCACATTTCCATTTACAGAGCATGCTCAACCACAAATAAAAGATTACAGCTTATATGCAAAGCCAACGCCAGTTAAGTCCAATAACTCTGACAGAGCCAAACAGGGAACTTTTCACTTGTGCAAACAGTACAATGATAATACTTATGCTTGATGCAGAGCACAACAAGCAATGGGCAGGTGCCAAAATGCTCAGTTATGAAATTTATCTGCTATAAGTGAGCATATTTTTGACACCGGTCAGTACAAAGACCCCAGAGCAGCCTGGAACAGTCTTTCCTTAGAAAGTTAAAGCTGTCACTGTCTTGTATTTTGAACCTGTCAAAATATCTGTCTTGTATTTCGAAATGGGAAGCCTTTGGGTGTTTTACAGGTACCATTTTGAAGGTAACGTTGCCCCCAAAAATACAAAAACCCTAAAAATAGAAATATATAAATATGTATGTGGAGAAAAGGGATAAAGTCAGAAGCAAGAAAGTCACAGGCTTATTAAAAAAAGTATACGTATACACACACACACACACACTTGTAGAAAACAATGTCAAACGTGAGTTTGTGCAATGACCCCTCATTACTGCACAAAGCAGCCCAGGCGATGCTCCCTGTCCTTTGAGCTAAAGCCAAGGCAGGGAAAGTCAGAGAACCAACCAGCAAAGCGTGTTCTTACTCACCCAACTGTTCCTCCTGAAAGGAACTAGCAGTTTTCAGTTGGAATATCTGTAACATATCTTAAATTGAAACTAATCAGCTACACTGCATGAGTAGATGACCCAGAAAGCTATTCGTGAGATGCATTAGTTTGAATTGGGAAGCTTTCCTCTTTTCCACTGTATAAACACCGCCGTGGCAATGATCACAGGGAAGCATGGTAGAGGAAACAGCCACCCTTGCATTGGGTCCCTATGCACAACTAAATGCTCCCCTGAGAATTTTTTTTCTGCCCTTACTTCACAGAGCCATTAACTGTAAAAAAAGGACAACTATGGGAATCATTATTACTACTCTAAATCACAAACACACAAAATGGAATGAATAATTCTGTTTTCTTAGCTCTTACAAAAAATATGGTCTCATTTCTCGACCACATGAAGGGGCACTAGAAGTTCTATTCTCATTTCGAGCACACGCTATTCTCCCATCTCCTAACTCTCACTAGCTCAATGGTCCTAATCAACCACATGCATTTTGCAAAAGCTAACTAAATAGTGTGGCATCAAGAACAATACCATCCCTTTAAAACGCCTCTGCTTGGCTATTAACATACAGCAAGAAGGAAGCTCTGACCTTTGCTTCCTAAAATTAAGTGGAACTTTTGATTACGCAGCCAGTCACTACAGGTCAGTTTGACAAAAACAAACAGCAACAACAACAAAGAAAAACCTGAAATATAAAGCACCCCACATACCTACCCAGGCAGGCTCCCGTGAAAAGAATAAGGACTCACAAATCATCTTGTGCTGCTTTGTTCAGCAAAGTATTCCCTTTCCAAACACCCTGTTTGGAAAAATAAGAATAAATAAAAAATATAGTTTGGGACAATTAGTTTAGGACAAACAAAAAGGTATTTACTGCAAGTCTTTTACTGGATCCCTTAAAAGACATGCTTAGTTTTGAAACATCAGGAACCTGATGCCAAGACCCCTCAGAAGAAGTATTACTGAAAACCACATGGTGCTACTGAATACCATAAAGATGCTGAATGACTCCAAATCACAAACATATCAGCATAATGGTATCAAAAAAGCAAAAACAAGAAGCAAAGAGACAGGTTCAAAGAGCTCCCTTAAGAAGAACAACGCAGAGGTTTCAGTCCAGTATCTCAACATTTCCCTTACATGCTCTAGTGTTACTCAGTTAGCAGTGGGATATTACAGTGCCTCAGGTAGTTAAAATGATTTCTGTATAGGGGGCCTGGAACAGCTAAAAGGCTGTTCATGTCATCACAATTTATCTCTGGATAACAGAGGCCTTCCATTTTCAAAGCAGCTCCTCCATGTGTTCTCATAGGGAAGTCAGAAAAATCTCAGTGAGTCTTGAAAACTAAGGTAACACTGAAAGATCCCAATGACCCAACTTGTTTATAAATACAATTTATATCTAAAAAACAGAGAGCAACGGTGTGGGACAGTCCCTTTCATGCTCTTGTTTTTAGAAGGCAGCACAACTGTTAATCTCTCTCAGAAGAAACTTTCAGGACCACTATCAAGAAGCCAACTTCACCCTGGAGCAAAAGGTGTCAGGCTACCTCAGAAATACAATGTCTAAATAAATGCTGTAGACGTGGGCTGGAGGACAGACGAGCCAATGCAGTGACAGTGACACCCTACAAAAGTAGCAGGAATATTAAACTGTAGTTTAAGCTTGTTGAGAAATCTGTGTTCTGTGGAACAAATGCATGATCTAGCCATGATGGAAAACTGGATCTGAAAGATTTTCTGTCAAGATCAGAAGGCAAATTATTTCCCATTAGCCCAAACTGGACTTTGCATTTATTCCACAAAACAGGGTAGGAAGGAAAAGTATGGGTCTCAGAATTTAGTACTGTATAAAAGAGATAAAATGCAGTCGTTAGATTATAAGGTTTTAGCCTTAATCTCTTCCCTATTTAACAAGATAAGCATCATTAACTGTTAATCTCCCTGGCCAGCCTTTCTGAAGGGTCAAAGCAGCAAATACATTTGCCAGCAAGTGAAAGAACCTGCCAGAAACTTGCATTAGAGAGAGGAACAACCCCTCAGAGCTTTCTACCAGACAAGCATGTTCTCTGACACTGTTCTCTGACACACAAACCATTTCTTCTTGCACATTTACCGAAGATATTTTTCATTCTCCTTAAAGGTATCTTTAAAGTAAATATATATGTATATATATAAAAAGGAGATATCTATCACCTATATCATGCCCAGCAGGGTACTGAAAGGCTGATCCTGCCTCATTCCTTCATCCCTGCACTCAGTTCCTCACTCACACCCTCGTATGTCCCCTGCTCCAGCCCCGGCACAGCCAAACGTGACGCAGGAGGTTTGAGCAGGCCGAGAAGGGACCCTGGCCTCGCATCTCAGACCTGAAGCTGTGAGATGTCGGGATATGAAGATCAAGGAGTAAAGCACAACATCATGATCTAGATGTAGGGGTATACAGATGAAGGAACAAGGCATAAAACCATGACCTAGTTTTAACTTCTATATACTAAGACACCTAAGACAGTGCTAGTACCAGCAGAGAGAACTACAAACCTTGTAGTTACTGATGATTTTAAAGTAATTTGCATCTAAATCCCTCCCCA